TAATAATAAATGTATTTATCTTTATTATATTTTAAATCTTAGATATATTAAAAATTTAAAATTATTGTAAGCCGAAAATAAATAAATTTTGAGACTAATATTTTTATATAAGCTCTTCAAATAAAATTAATATTTGCATATTATAAATAACGATTTAACTAATTTTGATGTATTGAGATGAGATGTTTTGTCTTTGAATGAGATTAATCATTTATATTCTGGTGTTGTAAATATTGAGTTGAAACTTGAAAGGATCATTCATATCATAAATCTTTAAATATTCAAATCAAATCAATAGAGATATCAAATATTAATAATTTTGAAAAATAAAAAACCAGTGGTGGTGGTGGTGAAAGCCAAAAAAATGGAGGACCTTAGTAGAAAAATAAAATTTATTAGGCTTAAAAATAATAATAAAACCAATGGGAAGCGTCGTTTCTTCTGCCCCGTACGCGGTAATGGCTTTGACTTAAAATTTCAAAACCTTTCACTTCAAATAATTCAAAACCCTATTAACTTCTAATAATTTATTTATGTCTTCAAATATTTATTTAAATTTTACACTTTAATTATTTGGATAAATATTCCTTTACTGATCTTTTATGGTTTGAGAATCTCTGAATTATTCGATCAAAGTTTAATAAACTAAAATGTTAAAAAATATCTTTTGAACTATATAGGCTGAATTGAAAATTTGATGGATTGACTAAAGAGATAATGAATCCTAATAGATCAATTAACGTAAATGAAATAAATATATAAAAATATTGAATTCGGGTTGGAGTAAAGGCTCCAAGAGCACTAAAAGTATCATGGATGCTCTCTAATACCTTTCTTATCTTTACTCGGGCACGAATTGGTTATCCCTCATGCGTACTTTATTATTAAATGTGTTATTTCACGTCAATCGATCATCTAGGATTATCATCTTTTAATTTAATTTTTCAAGTCTTCAAATACTTCAACTTAATTCATGATGGTGATTTAACACCTGTATAAAATGATCTACTTCAACTTAATTTTTCAAGTATAAAAGAATTAAGAGATAAAATTTGAGATTAAGACAATATCGTATGATGTTTCGAGAATACAATGTCTTCGATGTTTCAATATTTTTGTTTTAAAAATTGTAGTTAGACTTTAATTTTTTTTAAAAATTGAATTAAGCTCTTTAAAATTTTTGAAAATTTGAATCTATATTTCTATATATATATATTTTAAAAATTTTAAGTTAGACTTTAAAATTAGATGAGCATGAGTCGGGTCCTGACCTAGTATTCCACCCCTTCACCTGTTACATGATTCAATCCAGTTTAAGGAAGTTCTATTTTATATGAAATCTAACTCGAATTTTAAGGTAAAAACTCACACCCATTCCTACATAAAATAATTCTAGTTTTATGTGATAAAATAATGACCTAATCAGGAAAAAATATAAAAAATATATTATCTCTAATATAAGATATAATTATATTATTTTTTTCAAATAAGAAATTTTCACCCTAAATCTAACCTAAATCCAATTCATTTTGAAAAATTGGATCCCATAAAATCAAAACAATATCCTCGTATGCATTTGTGTTGTCAAAATCATCTACCATAAGAAATGTAAAAAAATAACAACAAAACATTAACATAGTTGACAAAGATCAATATCGTAAGTCCTTCAATACTCTTTCTTTCTATTTACGTCAATCATGATTGAGCTAACGAATTGAGTTGATTTAGTTATGGGTCAACAAGATTTGGCCTTTACAAAAAAACGGTGGGGGATTTAGGGTCAACGATGCACTCTCTCTTTGAAAAAGTCGTCGTCTTCTCACCTTGTATATGAAATAATGGTGCCCTGAAACTCAAATACTATTATATACATCACCTTTCCTGCATTCTTCATTACTTAAATCACTTTGTTTTCGGTTCAAAGTCCAACGAAGGAGAAAGTTGTTCTCTTTTTTGCAGAAGCTCGCAAGCTTTTATCAATGGCGGATGCTAATAAGCACGTTCATTGGAGGAGACGCCTACATGGGCTGTTGCTGTGGTGTGTTTTGTTTTGGTTCTCATTTCAGTCTTCATTGAACATGCCATTCATGTTGTAGGCAAGGTAATGCATACTCCCACATTTCATTTCTCTTGAAATATTTGTTTTGAATACGTAGGTAACGTTGTTTCTACCTTTTACACAGTGGTTCAAGAAAGGCACAAGACATCTCTTTATGAAGCACTTGAGAAGGTTAAAGCAGGTGATTGAACTTCACTTATACTTCTTTAATTTCGATTTATTATCTTCGAAAGAAACTAACGTATTCTTCGTTTTCTTTGTAGAGCTTATGCTCATGGGATTCATATCCTTGCTGTTAACAGTATTTCAAGGCCCCATATCTGAGATTTGCATACCAAAACATGTTGCAGACACTTGGCATCCATGCGATAAGTACGCCGAGGCTCGAAAATATCCGAAAAAGTTCCGGTAGGAAACTTGTTGCATTTGATGACGACGACGATGATCGTTACTACGTTCCTCGACGCAGTCTTGCGTCGAAATCTGATAAATGTTCGGAACAGGGAAAGCTGCATTGGTTTCAGCTTATGGTATCCATCAGCTCCACATATTCATCTTTGTGTTGGCTGTTTGTCACATTCTTTATTGTATCATAATCTATGCTTTGGGAAGAACTAAGGTAAGGAAAAATGAACACAAATTCATACTCTCAGGTTTTCTTTTCTTCCCCTTGCTTTAACAATGGCTTGAATTGCAGATGAGGAAATGGAAGGCCTGGGAAAATGAGACAAAGACAATTGAATATCAATTCTACAATGGTATGCATATGGTTTTCGAAGAAATTTCTCTGATATGTGCGTCGAACACTTGTTCATTTACTTTAACTAAGTCGACTTTTTCCGATGCAGACCCAGAGAGGTTCAGATTTGCAAGGGACACATCGTTCGGGCGTAGACATTTGAACTTTTGGAGCCGTTCTACCGTGACCCTTTGGATTGTAAGTGCGATCGGAGATGCAGGAGACTCGAGTAATTCAAGAAAAATGAAAAATCAAACTATAGTGTTGAATTCTGATGTAATTCTTTGTTCATTTCCAGGTCTGTTTCTTTAGACAATTCTTTGGTTCAGTCACAAAGTTTGATTACTTGACACTGAGGCATGGATTCATCATGGTAAGCTTTATAGGCCATGTGATTCTATGGAGTTTTTATGCCAATTTCTTTGCTATTTCCTGTTAATATCTGAAACTTCAATCTGCAATGCTCTCTGCAGGCACATTTGGCACCCCGAAACGAAACGAAATTCGATTTCCAGAAATACATCAAGCGATCGTTAGAAGACGATTTTAAAGTCGTTGTAGGGATCAGGTTGGTGTTCTCAAGACCTTCAATTCTGTTTGTTTAAATGTTTACAATTCTGACTTAATGATTTATGATTCTGCAGTCCAATCATCTGGTTCATTGCCGTCTTGTTCTTGCTTGCCTACACACATGGTATATTTCATGGATATGTTAACTTGTTTTCTAAGTTTTTCCATGTATATGGAGGGTCGTATCTGTGTATCTATGTTCGAATATGTGTCGGATATGAACTCACTTGACTCTTTTGCTGCAATTTTCTCTTCAGGATGGTACTCTTATTTATGGCTACCGTTCATCCCCTTAATCGTAAGTACAATATCATGTACATGTTTTTTTTTGGTCTGGATTATGAGCAAGAAATGTGATCCGAGATCCGAAATCCAAAATCGGGACTGCAGATAATTCTAATGGTTGGAGCCAAGCTGCAAGTGATCATCACTAAAATGGGGCTGAGGATTCAAGATAGAGGGGATGTAGTCAAGGGTGCACCCGTGGTTCAACCGGGTGATGACCTCTTCTGGTTTGGACGCCCGCGCTTCCTTCTTTTTCTCATTCACGTCGTTCTTTTTACGGTAATTCTCCTTTAATCTACCAACGTTAAGCCGACTGAATCATGATCGTTGTGCTAATGCCTATACATTGATCCTCCATTTCATCTGCAGAATGCATTTCAACTGGCTTTTTTTGTGGAGCACGGTAAGCAATCCTTGCACTTCTTTTCCTTCTTGTTCGCAACTGTTCAATTACCGTATCTAATAACCGCTTATTCATCAATTTTTCAGTACGAATTCACCATAAAATCTTGCTACCATGAACATGTTGAAGATGTCATAATTAGAGTCTCAATGGGGTGAGTTCATGGAACTTTTTAGGCCAATGTTATTGATTTGGCAATGTGAAAACTTAGCTGATAAATGCAGATCTGCAACTTTTTCAGGGTCATTATACAGTTTCTTTGCAGTTATGTGACTCTTCCACTCTATGCTTTGGTGACTCAGGTAAGAACGGAATAGATCGAACCTTCGATAAGCCCGAAAAAGTTATAAACATGATGCAAAAACATTGTTCGATCTAAAAATAATCAAAATCGAAATCGAAATTCAGTTTACAGCAATGAAAATGATACTAAACTTGTCTTTTTTGTTTTGTTTACAGATGGGGACCAATATGAGACCAACAATCTTTAATGATAGAATTGCAGCTGCACTCAAAAACTGGCACCATACAGCAAAGAAACACACCAAACAAGCAGGCAGCTGCATTCCGAGAATACGACACCATTTTCGAGCAGGCCGGCAACTCCAACTCATGGGATGTCACCAGTTCATCTTCTGCATAACTATCCCCGAAGCGTCGAAAGCTACCGTACATCTCTGGGCATTTGAATGATCAATGGGATCCCGAATCATTTCGTTCTCCAGGACACCACCATGAAATCAACGACTCTACTCATGATAGATCACTGGTAGAAATGAGGGAAGTAGATAGGGCAGTTCAAGAATCTAACTCATCTTCACAGTTGCCTGCTGCAGCACCTCAAACAATTCGAACACAACATGAGATGACATCATTCCGTCCGATTTCTCGTTCGCCAAAAAATGATTGAGTTGATAAAGATCAGCTCAGATTAAAGGGTCAGGAGGCAATAATTGTCCAGTTGTAGATTGTAACAATACCCAAAATTTCAGATGTCAAATTCATTTCGTTCTTAAATTTAATCAAATTGAATTTTCATGAAACAAAGTCTCATATTAATCGAGCTAATACATTGGATAATTCGGGCACTGAAAGCTATCATTAAGTGTGTAAATGCAAAATAATATTTCGAGGTATAGACTAATTTGTAAGAGTTTTTAAAGTGTTGTGCCTATTGAGTGATTAGGCATACTTGTGCATAACCTTTGTAGTTTGATGGATGTGACTCTTCGGAGCAATCAAACGCGGTTGTTTCCGTCTATGTGCGGCTCTTCTGAATTACGTCCGGCAGCTAATATCTCAGCTGCCAATCTCTCCTCCAGTGCTCTAGCCCCTCTTTCTCTGCAAGGTCACATAGAGGTTAGAAACTGATATTTTCTTCTCTTATAACAATGCCATTGTTCTGTTCACAATCAAAGAAAATCATTTATCATCTTAAACATCGACGTCTTACACAACATATGCCGGGGAAGCACCCCAGAAAATTAGAATACTTCATTATTTGTCCTAGAGATAGAGGATACATCGAATTATTCGAAATGGGTGAGGTTTAAGTATTTGGTCTGTAGATTTGTTGTGTGATAGGACAAGTTTGGTATGCAGCCTGTAATTTGCTTCCGTGATATTCTTATACCTAAATTATACAACTTCAGGAACAAAGCCAAGATTACTCTTCAAATTTCATTGAAATGATGTCACTGAACTTTCTAAATGTGGCTGAAGCAGTGATTGGAGCCATTCCGGCATTTCTTATATTTAAGGTCTCGGTTAACGACATTATCTGTTTGCTAATAACCTCCAACTTCAGCATTTTATGATGAATTAAGTTACAAAAACCATGTTCCAAATTGTTCATCTATAGAAGAATTAAATGACCCGGCAAAAAATCTCTACCTTTACTTTTATTTTTAGGAGATAAAACTCTTGGTCGGGTACGATTTGCTTGATGATAACCAAGAAGCCTGCCAGCACCCCATGGAATCCAGAAACAGGCATGTAACTAACAATTATCAACATGAACAGTGAAAATATATTAGATTAAATTTTGCATAATATACTTCCAAGACAAATACACATTCCCTACCATTCAGTCAGAAAAAGACGAGAGAAGAGTGCTTCAATCTTATAACTCTTTTACTTCTCGAGCTTTTAATTGAGAATACTGATGTGACAGAACAAGCAGAAGACGGAAGGGAAGAAGGGGAAGAAATAAACAAAAACAATTGCTTTCGTAAACACATAGGGAGATTGAAGTACTCACGGGCACTTTTCCTGCATGGTTACCTGGTACAAGGCAATAGAGGTAACGAAAACACAAACGGACGTTAGAAAGTTAGTTATGAAGATGAACTTCAAGAATTCCTTAGAACCCCATACAGGCTCAAGCAACTTCCCCAAGAAAAGAAGTCCGAGAGTACTAACAACCACCTGTAGAAATCAGTAACCATCAGGATGATTATAAGATGAGAAAAAGGGGGAAATTGGGTAAAATAATGCTTATACCCCATGCACTGTTTGTTCGATGTAATCAGCGGTTACGAGGTTCCAACCAAAAGGAGTAGTCCTGCAAAATAAGTTGTTGAAATGAAACTTGCAATTGAAGGCATTACTCTTTTGCACCTCAAGGGAAAAGAATATCCTAACCTATATAATCCAACACCAACCACACTAAAGACATCAAGTTACAGGAGCCTGCTTAATTGTGTGTGCATAAAAAACGATCTCACAGTCAGCAATTTGCATGGATTATAACCAGATCAAGCAATTGTGATGTTTCAGCAAGCCACGTGTTAATATCAAACGGAATGGATGATAACTGGATTTCTGACCTCAAAATGTAAAACTCATTTTTTTAGAGGATCCGATATTGAATTTCCCAGTTCATCCAAAATCATTGTTAGAGCTTTAATCCCAGGAAAAGTTAACAAGCAGGATACTGCTTTGTAAACTGAGATCCAGCAAGATCTAAATCTAAATAATAAATCCTACAAACAACTCCCTTGAGCCAAGCATGAAAAAAAAAGAAGAACGAACCGATCACACAGTAAGCAGCCATGCACATGAAGATGCTAAAAGTAATGGTTCCTAAAATCTTTCTGAAGGGCCAAAATCCAAATCTATGCACCAGAATATCAAAATCATGAGTCAATGATTTCACTCGTGCTTAAAAGCAGTAGATATTCTGCTTAACGAAAACGGGTCCCATGAAAAGAGCAAGCAAGTTCAAAACGAATAATAAATCATTACATAAAGATTGCTAATAGCTATTTCCAGGTACCTAAATCCAGATCTAAGCATTCAAATGAACAAAGCAATAAGTTTATTCCAACTAGAAATTATAAAGAAAAAAACCCATCAAAAGATAGCTAGCTAAGTTCAAGAAAATGCCAACACTATTCCAAAAAGCCATATCTAAGCATCCAAACAATAGATCTTAAATCGAACCAACGAGCGACTCAAATCATCAACTTTTTTCATTAAAACTAGAACCAAGACATAAATAAATATCCAAATCGAAAAAAGACAAATCTAAAGATATGATCACTTAAAACTTATGCAATCAGCAATGAAATTTGACTAAAATTCCACATGGATATTTTTCCAAAAGAGCAAACAAACAAAAATTCAATCATAACCCAGAATTTCTAACAACACATTGGATAAAATTAACCTAAAAATAAAAAGACGAATTAAAAATTTTGTACCGGCGACATAGACGACGTCGATAATACTTCTATTTATAGGTCAATATGATCAAAACGATATAATTTTGATACATTATATTAATATCTAAAATAACCTCATTGTAACTTTAGTTTAAGAGTTATGTTTGTTTTTAGTCAACAGGAAAAGTATAAAAATGAATAATAAAAAAGGGTATATAGTCTTTCAAAACATATTAATATAATCGTACTAAAATCACATCAATTTACTCACTTCATTATACAAATAGAACGATCGTGAAGCGTTATGGAAAATGAAATCGACATTTTGTCTGGGGATAAGGGTAGAGTACTCGAATTGAAGCTAAACTTGCAGTTTAGTGATAAAATTGTATCAATTTTTAGTTTAATGATATAATTGGTATAAACTTATAAATTTAATGGCATACAATATAGTTCATCCTATTTTTATAAAATGTATTTATTAATGTGTGTATAATATTTTTAGTTCATAATTAGAGCTTAATATGTACATAATATTTTGGTATAATCACCAGTATACGATTTATTGATCAATTAATTCGGATCAGGTACTGCAGAGGTAAGAACGATCTTCCCAATCCAGTTTACTCCATTCGCAATCGTTAAGATTCGAACCCTTAACTTTACTTAAAAGATCTAATGTTTTATTCCACCATACCAATTAATTGTTAGTCATGTCTGAACATTTTATCAACAAGAGTTTACATGTTTGATTCATGAAACAATTTTGGAATATAATTGAATCTCATTCTGAATTAATTTTGTTGTTATTACTGGTCTAAAATATTTATTTCATGAATTTTACTTATTTGATGAATTTTCACTGATTAGAGAACGTAGATGTTTATTACATCGTGTTAATCAGCCGAATGTTTATGGCATATATGGATGAAAAAAGAAGCTCGGAATTGTTGGGTTTTAAGTCGATCCAATTTATAGGGTTGTGTTTTATTTTAAAATCAGATTCAGGCAAATGCCTTTTTTCTAAAAGAGGGACATGCTAGGTTATGATCGGAGCATCACATTTTCTTGTTCCTAACGGTGGAAGACGAGAAGACAACAACGTTGTCACAAAATTGTAGTAAAAGGAAATTGATATAATAATAAAGATGTTCATCTATCAGAGGTGAACGCCCTCAACATGTATAGTTAAAAATATATTAAAAGAAACCGAATAATCATTTTTAAGTTGCTTTTTTCAAACACTATTTTCAAAAGAACTATCATGATAGCTTGAGACGGAAATCCAGTTACCACTATTCAAGCATTTGGAAGATGTACCATTCAGTTTATTTATAACAATAACAATAATAATAATAATAATAATAATAATAATAATAATAATTTATTTATACTATTTATAGAACGACTGTACGAGGTAGGGTTGCACATAATTCGGATTTCAATCCGATCCGGATCGGTTTTTATCCGATCCGATTTTTTCCCATAGAAAAAAAACCGGTTTATAAAATAACCGGTTCGGTTTCTAACCGGTTTGGAGGGCCGGATATCCTAACCGGTGTAATCGGTTTCGGTTTTAAAAAAACCAGTTTTTTTTAAAAAACCTGTTATAAAAAAACCGATTTTAATATTCCAGATTGCTCATAGGGAACCGATTCCCCCCAAGGGGGTACCGATTCCTCACTGAATGATTTGACTCTGAGATTTCCAGAATGCTCGGAGGGAACCGATTCCCCCATAGGGTACCGATTCCCCCTATTCAACGGTCGAAATATTTGAATTTTACACTTAGGGAACCGATTCCCTATGAGAGGGTACCGATTCCCCCATGCTCCAAGCATTTTTATTAAATGTTTTCACACTTAAACGGCTATATTATCTTCATTAATTATCACTAACGTTCAGAAGTGATTCAAGGTGTATTTAAGCAAGCTTAGAAGCCATTGATCAAAGACAAGAAACATCAAGCCAATGTTCTTTTAAAAGTGTAAATAAATTAGCACCGGTATGCGGCTCACCGAATAATTCAAACGCGATTGTTCTTTTCATCATTTGCCAATTATCTTGATCTAACCAATGTGACGTAACGGCTAAAAAAGAATTTCCTGTATTATGAGGGGAACTCCAAACGTCACATGTAAGCGACACACCATAACGGTGTTCTTGGAATCCTAAAATCATTTTTTCCCTCGCCGTACGCCACATTTTTATAGCATCTCTTCTAAGGGTAGTACGACTTACTTGAGTATAACGTGGTTGCATTAGTTGTTGAATTGTTGTCGTGAAATCTTCATCATCAAAGTGGTCGAACGACAATGCTTTTGTAATCACGAACTTTGTAAACGCTTCTCGTAATTTTTCGTTGTCGTAAACAAAAACACCACCTTGCGGTGTAAGATTCGATTGACTAGGATCCGATCTTGAGCGAAGTGTCTTGCATGATTTTGTCAAATGGTTCTTCAACATTGTGTTTCCTTCCGATGCAAGAAACTTTAGACAAAGTTTACAACGCGCCCTCCTCGAGCCATTTGACATCTCACATAAATCGTAGTGATTCAAAATATCTTTGTTTCGAGTGTGTTCGATCACTCTCACGACTTCAAGGTTTCCCCCGACGGAAGATTCAGCAGTGTTACTCATGATGAACAAAAAATTACAAAACTAAGATTTAAGAGATGTTTAAGTATTGTGTAATAAGATTTGAGAAAGTTGTAATCAACCAAATACATCCCCAACCTATTTATACATGTTTAGGGTGGTAAAATGGTAATTTTTTAAAGAAAAAACGGTCAAAAACGGTCACAAACGACTATATTAACGGCTAGTTTTTTTAAACCCAGACCGGTTTTTTTTTCCGGATAAAAACCGGTTTTTTAACCTATTTTTTTCAAATCAGTTTTTTATCCGGTAAAAAAACCGGTCTGGGTTTTTTTATCCAAACCGGTTAAAATAACCGGTTTAAAAAAATCCGATCCGGTTAAAAAAAAACCGGTTTTTCCCAAATCCGATTTCGGATATTTTTTTCGTAAAATCGGATATTCAGATTTTTTATACACCCCTAGTACGAGGTGATGTTACAATCACATGTTATATAAATGACTTTTCAATATATATATGAATCCAATTGAATGATGAAAATTATATCGAGTTCTTATATGTAGGTATTGGACGTACACATTCTATATACAAAAAATGTTGTTACTTGTTAGCTTAAAGATCCATAGTTACATACACAGCTGCAGGAACTCCAGCATCTGTGTTAAATTCTCCCCCCATGTGTAGAGGTGTAAACGACTCGAATTGAATTCGAGTATTGCTAAACTCGACGCTCGACTCGATTCGAAAACCCTAAAATAAAACTCAATTTGATTCGAAAACTCACGAACTTAAAATTTTTAAACTCAACTTGAACTCAAAATCGAATCATGAACTGAAATTCGTAACTAGATTGAAGTCTCAAACTTAAACTCGAACCTAAACATTAAATACATAAAAACCTTACTGTATTTGTTTTAAAAATCAACGCATAAATACTAATATTATTAATAATTTTTTTTAAAAAATAAAATATTAATATATTATATTTTTGAGCTATTTACAAACTTTTCGAGTTAAGTATTAAGTAGCTCGTTTCGGATCGTTAAGAATTCGAGTCATGCTCGAACTCAAGTCGAATCCATTCGATCCGAATATTTTTCGAACCTTTGACCGAATCAATCTCAAGTAGCTCGCGATCTGTCTCGTCTCATTTACGACGCTACCCATGAGGTGTTGGCCAAGGCTTCGAAACAGTGAATTTTTATATACGTTTATCTCCATAGAAGATAAACTCTTCCAGTGAATATTTACTACAGTTTCATGCACTAATTGCGAATCGTTTCAGAGAGAAGGATTTCGGGCCCATGTAGGCTTCCGACAAAGAGACTAAAAGCCGATGGAAAGCTAGGGCTGAAGCAACGATGAACGTTACGAATGAAACCCAGGAAACCGTAACATCAATGCCGGTTCCTTTCTTGCAGACTTTAGGATCTTGAATAAGATCAGCTTTAGTCGTCGGTCGCTCAAAAGGGACCGGTAGTCGTAATGGTTGAAGTTATAGATAATCTGGACGAATGATGTAGCTCTTTATTCAGACGCCCACCAGCCAGCCTTAACTTGTAACTGGACTGGCTAGCTGGCACAAATTGCTCAAGAGCCTCAAACATCCGGCAGTATAGGATATCGGCGATGATTTTGCATAATTGGAACCTGAAGACCTTTGCTTCTTTGGAAACCGCTGCTCGGACTAATGAAGCTCCATCCTGCTTATCAAGAGGTATATAAGTTTAAAATACACAAAAGCATTTTATGAAAATATCATTGCAACTTGGAAGGTTAGCCATGCTGAAGACCTTGGTCCAAATTCGACCAATTCAACTTTGTCCTAAAATTTTCAGATTCCATGTCAAATTATATGGTAGGACGAAAGCATTATGAAGAGGGTATTTGGAAAGGAAAAGGGAATCAAGTTGAACAGTACTCACCGCCGTCATTATAAGTCTTCTAAGAACCACACCATCTTTAGACGGTAAAAGCCTCAGCAACAAATATGCGACGTCAATCACACTGTTAGTCGTAGTTGGTAAATTATCCAGGGAAGTTGAAGTTTCATCACTAGAAGATTCCACCAACTGCAAGCTCTTTCTGCAGAATATAAATTAGATTTATCGCTTTCAAAAGCTTAAGAAAACAACATTTTACAGCAATTGAAAATAAGAGGCCCCAGTTATGGACAGGATCC